TCCAGACCCTTTCACTTGTCGTTATTCGTGTCCCGTTCGCCCTAATAACATTAAAACAGTGTAATCAATGACTCCTTGTCGTGTACGTTGTATGTTTAATAAACTAATTGTTACAGCCCCTTATATACAAAAAATGCTTATACGTATACACTTACATGCCTATATGCTGAGAGCGGAAGTAAATATTGATAATCTGTAAACGCTACTGTTTTTAGCTTGAAGCGGAAAACTAGGTACATTTACATATATTTTATTTATTTTTTAAATTGCAACGTATATTTTTTATGGCTTTTAATGGATCTTTAAATTCCTATCATAAGGATATAACACACAAAGTACTCAAAAGGACGCAAGACATGGCGATTGACATACCATGAAAAATATAATAGAAAGATCCGATTTCTGCATAAAGTGCAATCTTGTGAAAAATCGTGTGACAATCGTTGTTCCAAATATCACTTTGCTTTTGATCTGTTACTTGTGTTTCTAAACTAAAACAACCATTAAAAATTGAACTTTTCATTTTAAAAAATATTTGCGACGTCATTTCTAACGCCATCAATAAACATTTTTTTAATTATCTTTACTTCCTGAATGCAAGCCAAGGAAGTGTAGTAATCGAGTTCATTGGACGAATGGCCACTTTTATGTTTTCTCGACGTTTCATGACACCTAGAGTACGAAAAAAGTAATCTCCCGTTTCCGTCTGTCTGTATGTCTTGCGTCACTGTCGCTTTTCATTAGACACGTAATTTCCAAAACTACTGGAGCGACAAACTCATTCAAATCAAACAATTTTCTACATGACATTCTTCCGATGTATAAACAAACACTTGAAGTTAAAGCTTGTTATTATTGCTGAGAGCCCATTTTTTCCATTCATTGGTTATCTACTTTATACATATTTCAAATTGTCCGTACTTGTATAATTTGCACAATCCCTTGAAATTTGCGTCTCCACGGCACAAGAGGTGCGGGGGTGTTATTTATGCCGCTGCTTTTTACTCTATAGAATTATCAATTTATCACAAAACAAACATAGCAAAATCTAATTTAATATTTTTTCTGGACGTGTACTTCAAGAGCGAGGAAAGTTCTGTTGAAATAAACTTGGACCAATTTTTTATGGAATATTTTCAAAACGACACACTTGTGTACCTCACATTTGATTGTTGCTTTGAATGGAAATTTTGTTGGAGTACGCAACCATCAATACAGCCCATTATAAACTACCTATATTATCTTATGGTTTCAAAATAGACGAGATTTATCGTTTTGTTGACAGTCATAGAGGCAAAAATTGTTAAAAAAAATATTTTTTTAAGTCAAAATGGGTAATTCAAAAAACAAAGTAGAACTCTATTGTCCCGTCAAATGAAAGAATTTGACAAGGTTTTAACATCATTTACACTCAGTAATTTTTCAAAACAAAACAAAATCTGAAGTACATAAGTTATTACGGACGTGTGGCGGCAAATTTAAATTGTGGCAGTCAACAAAAGAACAACATTTTAATTAAAAAAAAAACTCTATGCAACGGCAGCGGCACCAGAGCGCTATAAGAGTGTGGCGATGAACTTATCAATTTCATTCTAGAACACAGCAAAATTATCCATAAGGGGCGTTGTAGCACGAGCGGAGTTTAGCGCTGAAAAGGCCCTAAGCCTCAGCAGCGCCACACACTCCATGCCATGTAATATCTTAAGGAAAAACTGTTACCAACCAGCTTAAATAAATGTATTTTTGACTTTGACTTTGACGAGCGGAGTTTGGGGCTCCTGGTTGTGGCTGTTCTCCTACCCACGACGGTGGTTTTATCGCAAGCACTGCCGCACAGCACCCCTGATATCTATTCTAAACCTGCTTTGTGCAGATGGCGCAACCTCCAGCTCGACTAGGAACCGCGCACTCCACCACGTGTTCCTGTGTTATTTTACCTTAATTCCAATTAAATCTTCAATTTCTATAACTCTGATATTAAACTATAACTCAACAAGTGTTAAAGTTTAAAAAAAAAAACAATAAATAACATTTAAATTCGCCATACGCCCTCGTGAAATTTTAAACGGCAAAGAATTCTTATCTGAGATTAAGATTAGACATTTAGACAACTTATATGATGGAAGCAATAATCAACAAAATATTTACAAACCAAAAAACTAGCAAAGATTTATAAAAACAAAAGATCTGGTGTGAAAAAAAACTTGTGCAGACAAAAAAAATTACGTGAGGTTAGGAACTGCAGAGCATGAAAATTTACGTTCAGTTAAAATTGTGTGATAGAGAAAAATTGTATGACGTGAAAAATTGCAAACCTAACAAAATTACATGAGTTTAATATTTTATATCCATTCGAGGTATGGGTTAATTTTTTTTAAAGTGAAGTTATTCAGCTGTATTGTGGGCCATCGTTTTACGTTCCCCCAAACAAACACAAAAAAAAAACATAGCAGGCAATCCGAAGGTTCAAAATGGCGTCGGATAAATGCGTAGTTCAAAAAAAAATGCGACAATAAATATGTCTTCCAGAAATATGATCAATCCTCTCGCGCTGTGCAAATAATGGTCTAAATCGAAGGAATAAAATGCACTTCCCATATGACCCACAATGTTGTTAATTTGTTCAACGAGATTTTACAGTTCAAACATGTGCTCGGTTTGAAAATATTGTTTCAACATAGCCGCTGCCAGAACAAGGAATTCACCTGATGTTAAATTGTGCCACACTTTATCAACGATTCAAACAAAGAATTTACTACATTATGTTAAATGATGCCTTGATCCAAGTGACTGGTTACTTAAAACAATTAGCTTTGAGAGTTTATATCGTGATCTGTCCCCAGCTCATACCAAACAAAACACATGATAAATAAACACAAAATGCATCCGGCATTGCGAGAAAAGCTTCTCGGTGATGTAATTTTCCACGTTGCGAGAACAATGTCTCGGTGATGTAATGATGATATGATAACAATTACTGCTAAACGGGAGAAATTTTTAATCCCCCCATACCTCAGTCCACGACATTATGAATTCTACCGCACTTTCCACTTCCCTTAGGCGGGGCATGTCCTCGCAACGCTAAAGATTGATTACATCATCGAGGCTTGTCCTCACAACGCTACAGATTGATTACTTCATCGAGGCATGTCCTCTGCGGTTTCTAGTCAAACTGGCGAGACTTTATCGCGTCTCCTGCACAAAGGGTACAGGTTTGGATAGACTCAGGGGCGGTTGCGATGTTGTAGTGCTCTCGACTTGGCCAATAGTCGAGACCTAACTGCGGATCTGCGATCGTAACGGCCTAGTTTCGGACAGCATGTTCATCCTAGAGATGTGTAATGTGCTGTGCGGGTAGGCTTGCGACAGATAGAATCACCGTCGAGGGGGGAGAACAACCCCAACCGGTAGCCCCAAACTCCGCGTGTGTTAGAACGCCCAAGGGGTACTTTTGTTGTGCTCCTGTTAACTGCAGTAACTTTAAATCTGCCACCACATGCCCGTAATAACTTGTGTATTTGCATCCATTTACTTTAATTCAGATTTTGCTTTGTTTCTATTAAATTTGTGATATTCAAATATTTATTTGTATTGATTCAAAACATAAACGTAGGGTTTTGTACTTGTTTGGTTTTCATAATTATGTGTATGTCTGTCAATTCGCGGTTGTCTTTTCTTTAATATTTTTAAGGTGTTTAATTTGAAATGTAATATGTCGTGAATATACGACAGGGGATTTTGGAGCTGAGAAGTGAATACTCGCAGCTTCTTTCCTCCTGAGAGGGGTGCCACTTTAGCCCCTCTAAAACAATTTTGTGTATTATTTCTTGCGCTATCGAATCACCCGCAGTGTATTCTCACTTGTATGAAAGAACGTCTTCCCGCCATGTTTAAAAAAAACACAACGTAGGTTTCCATTTTGTTAGACGATCCCAGCCAAGGCCAAATTTTTAATTTTCGAATTTTTCGCGGGCCTTTCAAACTTTTTCAAGGTCAATTTAAGGCGAGAAGTTTGGGTTATCACAACATACAGGGTCATCAAAATTGATTGAGAGAGTTGGTACCCCCTGTTTTTGTCGTGAAGTTTGTCAACCTTATGACAGATTTGTTTAAGGTTATATGGCAATGAATTCAGTGGCGTGACAAAAATTAGAAACTTCAAATTTGACAACAAATGTTTTTACCAAAAAAAAAAGTGGAAAAAAGACGCCACTGAGTTTTGAAATTTGAAACTTAAAACTTCAAATCTGACAGCTAATATTTTTATACAACTTAATAAACCAAATTATTCAAGTTCAGGTTTACCAACTCTCTCAATCAATTTTGATGACTCTGTACATTTGCTAAAAAGAAAAAAACTGAATATGAACACAATAGAATGAAGTGTAAATTGAAGTGTCAAGTTACGATTTTCAGTAACAAACCGCACCAAAGGAATTAATATCAGTGTGTAGCAGGGTCATAAGACTTTACCAAATTAACAATTAAATATTCATATGCAACGAATTATACCGGGTGATTATTAATAATTGTAATTGTTTTGTCAGGTTTGCAAAATATTTAAAATTGTATGTTGGTCTACCTGTTTGTCACAATGAAATTTAGGGCACCAATCTGGTACCAAGTGATCTCATCACGTTTGTCAGCGCGTAAGGGATGCTCCTGTCAAAGTTAACAAATGTGAACTAACAAGCTAACATTGCTGCCAATAATTCAGAATCACCAACATAAAAGTTTGCTTCAATCATTAACAGTAAACAGTAGTCACCCTGTACTAACTACACCAGTACACCACATAAAATCATTCTCTTCTTCCGCATGTATTTTCTGTAAGATTTCTGAAGATTTGCATTAAAAAAAAATCTAGAAACCTGTTAAACTAAAGGGCAATTATTACTGCGCCATCTGCTGACAATTGATCAAAAAAGGACAGCAATATTATAGAAACCTACACTACGAATGTCATCACAATATTTTTGTAATACTAAACTAGAGGGCCGAACACGAACTGCCATTTTTGAGTGACATAACCTAACCTCTAAACCTCCAGTCTAAAATTAACAAGAAATATTACGCCAACAATGTCGCTTATCGCTAGAAACCTATCCAAAGTCCTAGTGCAAGTAAGCCGTAACCCTTTTGTAAATAATAAAATATGATCACATGACATTTTCCAGGCCTCCGGGACTGCCACCCTCCGAAGCCTTCACACAACCCTACCAACCCTCAGTGAAACCGTAAGTAACCCTCCAACTCCCCAAATTTACAAACTTACCCCATTTTTGTTAAGGGTCTTTCCGAGCGCCCCGACACCCGCATCAAATGCACCCTCATCCCCGGCGATGGCGTAGGTCCAGAACTCGTTTACTCCGTTCAAGAGGTCTTCAAAGCAGCTGGAGTTCCCGTAGACTTTGAGTCCTACTTCTTCTCTGAAGTAAACCCCACTCTGAGCGCCCCCTTAGACACCGTAGCTGATTCAATTGCCAAAAACAGAGTGTGTTTGAAAGGTATTCTCGCCACGCCGGATTACAGCCACACAGGCGAGCTCCAAACTCTCAACATGAAGTTGCGAAACGCTTTAGACTTGTACGCTAATGTAGTTCACGTGAAGTCACTTCCAGGAGTACGAAGAAGACACGAAGGCATCGATTGCGTTATCATTCGTGAGCAGACTGAGGGCGAGTACTCCGCCCTCGAGCACGAGAGTGTGAAGGGGGTTGTTGAATGCCTCAAAATCGTGACAGCTAAGAAATCTCAAAGAATCGCCAAATTCGCGTTCGATTACGCCACAAAAAACAGCAGAAAGAAAGTGACTGCTGTGCACAAAGCCAACATAATGAAGCTAGGAGATGGCTTGTTTTTACGGAGCTGTGAGGAAATGGCTAAATTGTACCCCAAAATTGAATTTGAGAGGATGATCGTTGACAATTGCACCATGCAGATGGTGTCTAAACCACAACAGTTTGACGTGATGGTAACGCCTAACTTGTACGGAAATATCGTCGATAATTTGGCTTCAGGCCTCGTAGGGGGCGCTGGAGTAGTCGCAGGTGCTTCCTACTCAGCTAACTGCGTCGTTTTCGAGCCTGTAAGTATACATAGCTGACTAAATTGACTACAGTAGATAAAGTCGTGGTATAGTCGATAGAGTCGACTACGGAAGTTGTAGCTATAAAGTGAATTTTTTTTCAGGGTGCGCGTCATACTTACTCTGAAGCTGTTGGCAAAAACGTGGCCAACCCCACCGCGATGCTCCTTTGTTCTTCTAAATTGCTCCGGCACGTTAATCTTCCGGTGTATGGCGATATGATAAGAAATGCGGTTGATCAGGTCTTGAAAGACGGGAAAGTGCGAACTAAGGATATTGGAGGGCAATCAAGCACTCAAGAGTTTACATATGCAGTGATTCATAATTTGAAGTTACCTAGAACATAGATATGTATTGTTTTTTCTTTATTTATTTTTGCGTATTCTGTGTATATTGTAAATAGGTCCCAAGCTCAGTGATGAATACATAGTACTCAGTATTTATTGTAATTTGACGATTTGTAATATTTAGACAATGAAACGCTTGAATAAAAGTAATGAGAATCCCGAGAAATTTAGTTTTTTTTTTTTCATAATTATCAATAACATTTAAAAAATATAACCTGATAAAAGGTCAGGTAAGGTTTAACAGTTTTTTTTCTGTGATGCTATTTTTTGCTCTACATACATGTTTCGTATTGTGATAACCCAACCAACCCGCCTTAAATTGACATCGAACAAAATTTGAAAAGCCCGCGAAAATTAAAAAAACTGACTGTCATCGACTGCCACAATGAATCAAACAAAGAATTTACATGATGTTAAATAATGCCATGATCCAAGTGACTCGTTACTTAAAAAATTAGCTTTGAGAGTTTATATCGTGGACGGTCCCCAGCTTACCTTAAACAAACACATGAGAAATAAAAATAAAAAATGCATTCCTCATCACGAAAATAAAGTCTCGGTGACATCAGGCGTGCTTTTACTCACACCAAAACAAAACAACAGTGACGCATCTTAGTTCTCTACCAAGCAAGCCCACTTCACTACCAACCCTGTCGCCAGATTACTACCCACAAATTCCTTAGAAGAACCAACTACCAGCAAATAGGATTAAACTTGCATATAGTTGCTTATATTCAACGATTTTCTTAATTATTATTTTTTTTTAATTCAAATTATTCAAATGCGATTTCCCGCCGTTGTTTCTTTTTCAGCGCGAAATTTTAATTCAAATTTGGACATCACAGTGACTTGAGAAATTTAAAAATCTTGCAGATTTCCCCGTTTGATGATTATGGACACTTTGGTGTTTTGATTAATATGTTATTTGCCAGAATAATTATGACATTTGATACTTCGTTTCTGTTATTTCATTGTTTCACTACACACCGTAAAATATAATTTGACAAGTTAGAAAATTTCGAATTTAAAAGGGTCTTTTTTTCAAAAGTATCCCAGGAAGCCATGAAAGATTAAAGTTCTCAGAGTCATCTACCGGATAGTACTGTGGTATCCTAGTTTGAATTAAAATTCTATTACTCTATTCTATTTTGAAAATATTTTCTTCATTCTACTATAAAAATTTGGAAGGGTTTTGATGTTTCAAAACGTATTAAAGAGAGACAGTAAACTCAAATTCTACCAACGTTAATATATGTAATTGACTTAATTTCTTTGTACTTGCGTGTTTCGTGATGACAACTTTGACGTTGTGGTGTCCGGATTTGAATTAAAATTTCGCGCTGAAAAAAACAACAGCGCGAAATCGCATTCGAATAATTTGAATTTGAAAAAAATTCAATCAAGAAAAGCGTTAAACATAGGCAACCATGTGCACGTTAAGTTCTTTTTGGGTAGTTGGTAGCTCTCCTAAGAAATTTCTGTTGAGAGGGTTGGTAGAAGTTGATTTGGTGACTAGAGGGGTAAGAGGCGTCACTTTTAGTAAATAGGTTGTTTAGTGTGAGTGAAACCACACGGTGAGTTAGCTATGTTAAGTTTAGTTGGTTTGGTAGTTAGAAAAAGAGGAAGCCTTTGTTTAACTAAAATTAATCGTAACGACTACGATGCCACCGTTTTCGCCAACACACGTAGCTAATTCTTGCGGTTTTTCCAAACGGAAATATGCGAATTTTTGGTGTAAATTTATTTTATTGTTTGTAAATATACAGTTCATGTTAGGATTTTAATCGTTAACTAGTTCTAACACAATTTAACGGTCCTGAGATTGTTCAGATAAAGTACTTGCTAGTTAAGACTCATCCCTTGTTTATGAAATTATGAATAAGGCTTTTGGATGCCTGTACTTAAGTGTTACATTATAACACAAGCTCGAATTCAATTAAATGATAAAAGAGTTTTTAGTTGGTTTTTAGGAATTTTGCACCTTCAAATTTCGCGCGATTGTGTGATCTCTGTTAACTAAGCTTGCAAAAGGGTAAATGGTTAACACTACTGATAACAACTTGTCAGAGCCAAACGGATTTTACCTTTAGTTTTGGTGGGGATTACTCTTAAGGAACGGAGCCCGAAAATTTTGAAAAGTGCAAAGTTCCTATACTCTGTTTACAGAAGAAATGGAGTTGTAAAATAAAATAAACAAAAAAAAATAAATAAAATTGTTAGTTGTTAGTGGAGGGAAGTCGGCAGTTGAATTGGACATGACCGTTTTCACACTAGTCAATATTAATTGTGGGTGGGGAATGTAAGTGCACGCACTTTCCTGTGCTCTGTGTCTGACCTCTAATTTGGTGAGTCTGTTCTGATTTTTAATCGGGAAAAAGCACTGGTTAGTGATCGGTTTGTGAAAGCATTGGTTGTCCCGGTTTTTACCAGGAATAGTCCGCTGGTTGCTATATTCCTAAGGATTTACGTTTTGATTTAGTTGTCACGTTCGAATATTTGCTTATCAGTGCTCTTTTTGTTCATTGGCGATAAAATTTTCTTTCGATAGGTACGAGGCGCGCGACCAAGGCGCTGGCGTGTTGCCGTACCTTGTTACGCCTTGTCCCCCTTTGGGGGGGTACACATTATTTAGTTTTAGCCACTGTTCATGATGGCTAATAATTTCCCTACTAAAGAACAAGCGGTAGTTATCACCGCTGTTGATACTTTGAATTTGCAGGATTACATTGTTGCAATAGGTAATGTTGTGACACCCAAAAATATCTTGTTTGCATCTAGAATCTCAAAAAATCGTATTTGTATTTACCTTACTTCGAAGTCTTTGGTTGATGACCTTGTCACGGTGCATCCCCCTATTTAAGTTAAAGACGTTGACGTCGGTATACGTCGTTTATTAAACCCAGGTCGCCGATTAATTTTATCAAACGTCTGCCCATCAATTCCTCATATTATTTTTGAGAACAGAATTAAATCCCTCGGACTTGTCCCTGTGTCACCTATGTCTTTTATGAGAGCGGGCATTAAAGACGAACAATATGCGCATATACTCAGTTTTCGCAGATACATGTATGTTCAACCTGACGACAGCATTATTCTTCCTGATTCTCTAGTGTTAAAATACGATGATACGAATAACCGGGTTTTTTTGACATATGATGACGTTTGCTACAAATGCAAAACGACTGGCCATTATGCTAACGAATGTCCTAATGTTACTTCATCAAATCAGCACCCTAATCTCACAGTAAGCATTGAAGAGACCCCTAGAAAAAGGCAGATTGACGACGACGTCAGTTCTCCCGAAATTTCACCTCTAAATCTCTCTGGTGATACTTCCAGTAAAGTAAATAATACTTTAAAAAAGAAAAAAACGAGTGACTCCTGCGATAATTTAACTCCGACTCTGAATTTGCTTTTACCTGCCCAAGACTTACTGAACAACACTGAGCAATATCCACTGAATTTTGATCAAGTGGTCGGGTTCTTGGATAAGGCGTCAGGTGTTAATGATATTCTTAGCCTTGTACGTGAATACACAAATGATATTCAAGGAGTTATGAATTTATTATATGACGTTTACCCGATTGTGAATCAAAAAAGTATGAAAAACAGATGTCGAAAAATACATAGAAAAATTAAGAAAGCTTACAATCCAGATAACTTTAATTTGATTGAATTAACTTCAGTCACTCGTGAGCACGGCATGGAGGATGACTTAAGTCATTCCTCCAAGTAAATGTACTGGCTTGCCATTATTGTATAATCGTATGGTCGGTAGTTACGCTAGACTTTTGGGGATGGGGTGAGATTAGAGAATAATAGCAGACTAATTTGTATGCTGTAATTCTAGAATCTCGAAAGTTGTTCTGTTAATCTAATCAATGCATATCATTACTTGGTCTTAGTACCCGTAATGATAGAAGTCATGCCTGAATGCCGGTCATTTCCGGGTCAGTGGTGGGTCCTAAAAATAATAATAATAATAATAATCTAATCAATACATATCATTACTTGGTCTTGGTACCCGTAATGATAGAAGTCTTGCCTGAATGCCGGTCATTTCCGGGTCAGTGGTGGGTCTTAATAATAATAATAATAATAATTAGATTAGATAACAGTAGGTCAGAGTAGTGTAGGTCACTTTTCATGTGATGCGCGGATAAATGGTCGGTAGTTACCAGTGGCGGCTCGTGAAGTTTTCTTCAGAGGAGGCTCAAATTTGAAAAGCACTACTTTTTATATCTTTCATTATCTGAATATTTTTTTTGTCATGCCCACGAAAAGAACACTCGTGCGTTGATAGATAAATAAACTTTTGCATCGATTAGTCTTTTCAAAATTGCCCAATTTTCACCAACTTTCTCGTAATAGTTCTCCCTTTTATGAGCCGAATCTAAATGATTGGCATTGTTTTGTTTACAAGCATTTCTAATTTAATCGAAGAAAATATGTGGTCCTATGATTTTTCATGCCTTTCTATAGCTCGTGACAAATTTTGTAAATTATTTTAGCCTGTTTTACCCCAAACGGAAGATTTATCACTTATAAATAATACACAATTCCAACAGTATAATTTGTTTCTTAAAACCGAAGCCGTAAACTATTTAGTTTTATTATAATTATTTTCATGAAATGCTCTGTTTTATTTCTAATTGTAACTGTCAATACAATTAATGGGAGTGATGGTGTTGGTCTCCCCTTTTGTACCCTTACCTACGTAAAGCCTAAACATCACCATCACTGAACAGGGAGCTCGCGAAACCACCTCAAAGTTTTTCCTACTTACACCCGATTGCGCCAACTAATAAGAAAGAGATAAAGTTATCTGTACGCCTTGATCTGAAAAGAGATGAACTGGCCGGAGGCTAGCGGCTTGGAGCGGCAGTCCCATGAACGTTTTAGCCAATGCAATACAGACTGACGATGCGTCAAGGTCTGCGGTCTCAATAGCAAGATGCATTCTCGGCGGAGGCTAGCGGCTAACAAGCCTCTGCCGCTGAAACCAAACGCGGAGTGGTGTGAATGTGAATTATGATTGTGAGGGCGTAAATATAAATTTTTGCGACATTTTAACCTGATATATGATGAAAGTAAATGAAATCCAGCAAAATATTCTGAAAAATAACAAATGTCTACAAAAATATAAATTCTTTCATCGAAAAAAAT